GCAGCCAAAATGCTTGTTGGAAGTGAGAATTGGCTAGACTTCATCTCACCTACTTTGGTCATGTTGTCAGAAAGGAACATTCCCTGGAGAAGGATATAATGCTTGGTGAAGTGGAGAGTCAACGAAAAAGGGGAAGGCCCTCAATGAGATGGACTGACATAGTGGTTGCAATGATGGGCTCAGATATAGCAAGGATTGTGAGGCTGGCACAGTACCAGGCAGTGTTTCATTATTTTGTACGTAGGGCTACTATGAGTCAGAGCTGACTCAACAGCACCTAACAACAACAGAGGGCAACTAACAACAATAATAAATCCTAAAGTACCCATTGAAATAATGTAACAAAGAATTACAGCTAAGAAGTGAATCTAGTAAAGAAAGTGGAATAATACAAAATACCCAATCCAAATGAAGGCAGGAGGAGTGGAAAAAATGGATCAAATAGAAAAACAAAGAGTGAGATGACAGATTTAAGCCCAACCACATGCATCATAACCTTAAACATAAATGATCAAAACCAGGAAATTACAATTGAGAAAAATACTATTAAGTAAACTACTGACCTTATTCAGATTACACTGGTTTTTCCACTAATTGTCTTTGTTTGCTCCTTGATCCCACATTGCATTTAGTTGTTATTCTCCTTAATGTCTTCCAACCTGTTACAGTTACTCAGTCTTCTCTTGTCTTTTGTGATCCTGCTACTTTTGAAGTGTACTGATCAGTTACTTTGTAAAATGCCTTTTAGTTTGGATGTGCCTGATGTTTTCTCCTGAGTGGAATGAAGTTATGCATTTCTGGCAAGAAATCACATATTGCATAAAGAATTTGTATCCAGACTATGTAAAGAGCTCTCAAAAACTCAATAATAAGAAAACAATCTTAATTTTTTTTAAAGGTAAAAGATTTGAACAGATATTTCCCTAGAGAAAATATACAGATAGAATAGATGAGAAGATGCTCAATATCATGAGTCATCAGGAAAAAGTAAATTAAAACCACGATGAGCTATCAGTAACACAGCTATTGTTGTTGTTGTTGTGTGCCATCGAGTCGGACCTGACTCGTAGCGACCCCTCCTTGGGTTTCCGAGGCAGTATCACTACGGAAGTAGATTGCCCCATCTTCCTTCCGAGGAGTGGCTGGTGGGTTTGAACTGTCAGCCTTCTGGTTAGCAGTCAAGTGCCTTAGCCACTATGCTACCAGAACTCCTCACACCTATTAGAATGTCTAAAAGCCTGGCCATATTGCAAAATGGTGGCATCATCAGACCTTGTCTAACTTCAGGTGGAGGAGAGAGAATCAAGATCAGTGTCAGCCCAAAGCTGATTCCCATGAGGTGGAGGTTAGACATACCTCCACTCTCCAATCTTTTTATCGATTCTGACACCAGTCATCCCTCCCATGGTATTCTTTACTTTTCTGCTGGATTCAATAATTTGTTGCAATGGCTACACAGAACTCACAGACCATACTCATGATTATGGAGTTTATTTGAGAAGTAACAGGTTACAATTCAGGATTAGGATCAAATTGGAAGTAATAGGAACAATTCAGGATACAGTTCTTTGATTAGGACAGCTTCTTTTCAGCTGTGCCCAAAGGCAGGCCTCTGCTGCTAGGCCCTACTTGAGCATGGCTTCAGGTAGATGTTATAGCTCCTTGGTTCAAGGTAAGTGCCTGGAGGCACCCTACTCCTCAAGAAGCCTCCTGCCCAAAGCCAGTCAACTTTCTTGCTCGTGGGTTAGCACATCCACTGTAGCTGCCTCACTCCTTGGGCTGGAAAGCCCACTTCACTGGTCTTCTGGTTCTGCTGCTGCCATTTCTATGCCACTAGTGTCTGCCATGCTTGCCTCTGATTTTTTCTGTCTTATGCTATCTTCAATGTTATAGCTGTCTCTGCCTCCTGGGTCAAGGAAGTTCTCAGCATAGGGACCCTGGGTCCAAAGGATATTCTCTGCTTCCAGCTTTTCTTGATGTCAGTGGGGTCTCCTCTCAACCTCTGAGATTGGCTCTTTTCAAGTCTAGTGGGATGGCAAAACTGACCAATCCCCTTGGTAGGCCATTGGCACGATATCTGCACAGCCCAGGCAATCCTGCAAAGAGTTTTACACAATTATTTGCATATTCCAGCCAATCATTTCATGGGAGTTGCAAGACCATGGCTAGAAGGACCATATTCACCCAACGGCACTGCTTCTGTAGTGATACTGCCTTGGAAACCCAAGGAGCGGTCTCTGTGAGTTGGATCCAGCTCTGTGGCAGTGAGTTTGGTTTTATTTTTTTTGGTGAGGATGTGAGGCACACTATTGGCAAAAAACAAAAACCAAACTCATTGCCATTGAGTCAAATCTAACTCATAGTGACCCTTCCTTGGGTTTCTGAGGTGGTATCTCTACAGAAGTAGATTGCCCACTCTTCCTTCTGAGGAGTGACTGGTGGGTTTGAACCACCAGCCTTCTGGTTAGCAGTCAAATGACTTAGGGACTACGCCCCCAGAGCTCCCACACTATTGGTAGCAATGTAAAACTGTACAAATGTTTTGTCAATTTCTTAAGAAGGTAAACATACAGTTACCATATAATCCAGCCATTCCACTCCTAGATATTTACCTGAGAAATAAACACATGTCCATACAAAGACTTGTACACAAACATGCATAGGAGCTTGATTTGTGATAGTCAAAAACTGGAAACAACCCGAGTGTCCATCAATATGAACGAATAAACAAACAGTGGAATATTAATGAGCAATAAAGGAATGAACTATTAATAAACATAACAATATGGGCAAATCTCAAAATAATTATGCCGAGTGAAAGAAGACAAACAATAAGGTATATACAATACAATTCCATTTCTATAAAATTATAGGAAATGCAAATAATCCATAATGGTAGAAAGCAGATCAGTGTTTACCTGGTGAAAGGGAAGAGGAGGGAGGGTTTACTAAGAGTAAACTTTTGGAGCAATGGATGTTTATTATCTTGATTGTGGTGATGGTTTCTCCGGTGTATGCAAATGTCAAAACTTATCAAGCATACGCTTTAATATATGCAGTTTATTGTATCTCGATTATACCTCAATAAAGCTGTCTTAAAAAATCATAAGGATCGCTCAGGTCCAGCTCAGATGCTCCATCATTCCCTGCCCTCCTCAGGGTGCCTATCCGCAGGAACCCTAAGACTCAAGTGGGGAAGTAGGCGCCATGGGGCAGGTGAGGACACAAAGGAGCAGAAATCTAACCCTACTCATCCAACTTTGGGGGCTCCTAATACCGGGCCTGGCTTCGCGCTGATCTGAAGGTCTCCAGGTCTGGGGCTTCGCAGCGCTAGAGAGAAGAGGGTATTAGCCCAGAGTGCTTGTAGAACTGGGACTGGAGTTGGGCAGGGGCTGGGCGGGGCAAACTTCTACTCCCTCACAACTCCACCTTCTGCCCAGGTCTCGCCCAAGGCCCTGCCCAAGCCCCGAGACTTCATCTGTGCACAACCCCAACACCAGTACCGTACCTAAAAGTGATGCCCCAAGCTCCCTTCCCACAGCCCCATTAAGTGCACATCATTCCTCTTCTTACTCTCAGGCCATCCCTCCACCTCCAGCTCTCAGGCCCCGCCCCCAGGTCACGCTTCACCCAGCCACGCCCCCCAAAGCTCCACCCCCATCTCCTGCCTCACCCCCGGCCTCCCCCACTGTCCTCAGGCCTCACTCCCAACCCCTCACAAGACTTCCCTGTTCCCTCGCTTTTTGCCTTCAGGCCTCGCCCCACCCAGGGCCCCAGAGCGCCACCTACCTGCATCCCTATTTTCTCGCAGGATCTGCCCTGCCAGCGGACCTAGGATGACCTATGGCTCCGCCCCTCCACAGACCCCGCCCTGGTTCCATCCCACTCTTCCTCAGGCTCAGATTCAGTGCAGGGGCTCCTCACAAAATCTCCCTAGTTCTTCCGTCACTGAATGCCTTCAGGCTCCGCTCTGCCCTTGCTTCTACAATTTTACCTCCCCTCCTTGCGAAGGCCTTGCCCATCTCAGCCCCTACCCATCTCCAGTCCCGCCCGTAGACCCCGCCCATGGGCGGGCGTGTCGGTCGGTGGCTCTAGGTTTGGGCTCAGGGTCTGCGGGCAGCGCAGTACACCGGGCGTGGCGCGGAGCCCGGCTGGTTCGCAGAGGAGCACCCTCGCAGTTTCGCGGCAATCGGATGCAGTCCAGGTAAAGCCTCCTTTCCCATCCCCCATCCACCGGGCCGGGCGTCCGCGGGTCCTGGGTCCCAGCCTCCCCGGCCCTCGCCCCCGCGCGGCCCGGATACTTACAGCCTGTCTTGGCTTGCTTCCCCACCTCCTCTCCCCGAACATAATTGAAATAACAGACGATGACCCCTCGTCTGATGTTGGTAATGGTTGCCATTGGAGCTGAACCACGGACCGGAGGGCGGTTTATTATTATCATTTTCTGAAGATTGTCAAAATTAGTAAGAAATTAAGCTTTCGACAAGCAAAACCGCCTCGCCGCGGAGGTGCGCGCGCTCACTCCCTCTGGGTCGCTGAGTGATCCAGCCTGACATGGCATTCCTGGAACTCTCTAGGGAGAGCCGGCAGCCAGGCTTCCTGGGGGTGCTAGGGCGCTCCTCCATCTGTGTGGTGGGTGCGGCCAGCCAGCGGGCATTGTGAGCGCCCTTCTTTGTTACCAGCCACCCTTCTGGTCCCTTTGGGAGTCTCTGGGCAAGTTACGAGGCAGGCCTGTTTAAAGAAGGGTGACCCCTATTGGGCAGCTGCTTCAGTTTAGGGCCTTCACAAAAGTTGCCCAGATCCAACTGCCCACACTGGCAGCGCCGATGGCTCCTTTCCTCTCACTCTTTTTCCTTTTCTTTCTTAGAACCTAGAGGTTGCACCATTTTCCTTGGCAAATAAGGAAAATAAAGTTTATGTCTTCGAGGGACACTTCCTCACACTGCTGGCAGCCTAAGGAGTGGAGAGGAGCATAGATGGCAGGACTGGCCCAAGGCAGGATGGCCCTTTTGGGCAGACAGAGCCCCTCCTCCCTGCAGGTCTCCAAGGGAGGGCCTTGCCTCCTTCTCCTCTTCTGCCTGCCTTTGGGGGCCACCTGTCCACAGGGCTGCCAGTGTCCAGAGCATGCAGGGGCAGTGGCTGTGCACTGCAGTGCCAGTGGCCTGCAGGAGGTTCCCAAGGACATCCCCACCAACACTGTGCTCCTGAAGCTTGATTCCAACCAGATTGCTCGAATTCCTGATGGAGCCTTCCAGCACCTGAGCCAGCTGAAGGAGCTGGACTTGTCTGGGAATGCTATCGAGTCCATTGGCCCAGCGACCTTTGCTGGCCTGGCTGGGGGTCTGCGGCTGCTGGACCTGTCCAACAATCGCATCCGCAGGATCCCCAAGGACGCCTTGGGCAAACTCAGTGCCCAAGTCCGCCTGTCCCACAATCCCCTGCACTGCGAATGTGCCCTACAAGAAGCCTTGTGGGCGTTGCGGCTGGACCCTGACTCAGCGGATGCTATTGCTTGCCACACCTCTGTGCGGGAGGAATTTGTGGGGAAGCCGCTAATCCAGGCCCTTGATGCCGGCATCAGCTTCTGCAATGCCCATCACAGGACTACTGACGTGGCCATGCTGGTCACTATGTTTGGCTGGTTTGCCATGGTGATCGCCTATGTCGTATACTATGTGCGCCAGAACCAGGAGGATGCCAGAAGACACCTGGAGTACCTGAAGTCCCTGCCCAGCACCCCCATCTCCAAGGACCCAATAAGCCCTGCACCCTAGCACCCACCAGCACCCTGGGTACCACCTACCAAGTCTTTAGGCAAACCCACATCCCAGCTGGCTCCACCACTTTACTTTTGTAGCAGGTTGTGTGACTTGTGTTTTTGTTATTCCCCCAGTGAGGTGATTGGCGATGACCAGTACTCCTTTTGTGCAGTGCTTTATATCTCATAAAGCACCTTCACATACTCAGACCCATTTGATGGATGAAGAACGTGAAACTGAGACACTGGAGGACTTTCCCATGATAACACAGGAAATGCCCCAGTTGGGACTGAGAGCCAGGTCATCTGTGGAATTCTGTGTTCTTTCCACTCTGCAAGCTTCTTCCATATGCTATCCAGAAGATGTTAGTATGTACTTGGAGAGTTGTTAATATGCATTGCATAAATGCAAGACTCTCCTCCTTGGAGCTTTGCAGTCTAGATTCATCTGTTAAAGGCACTGAGAAGTCCTGCAGGGAGAAACTGGTTAACCTTTGTTTACCTAGTATTTCCCAAATATATTTGACCCTAGAACCCTAGAACCTTCTTTCCAAAGCAAAGTAATAGTATCTTATCAACAGTTTGGGAAATGCTATATCAGATCAGAGTTTCTTAGAGAGGAGAGTAGAATGTGTAACTCTAACTTTTCTACAACTTCGTCTAGTTTTAGAATGTTTGTGAAGAGTGATGCTTCTGCCAAACTTTCAGTTTGGTGAGAGGAAAACAAAAGCATGGAATAAAAGCTTGGAAACATCCAGTATAGATCATCAAGGGGGTCATGTCAACAGCCAGACAAATGCAGTCCTGCCCCTTTTCTGCCACTCAGTCTGTGTCTGCCAATGGTAAGGCACCTCTTAAGTCACTGCCGTGCCTTGTTTTTCTATTTATTAATATCTAAAGCCACTCTTTACCAAGGACAGGAAGACTGCTGTTCGATGATTCAAGGTCAACCAACAAGATGCTTTCTTTTCTCCAGCAACAAGAACTCTTCCTCTTTCACCTTGACTGCCAGGAATCTCAGAGCTACTTCGATGCTCAATTTTCTTACCTATCTTGCTTCAAGTTCAGGGTAAACATCTGTCTTCTTTCTAATTTGATTTTTTACTGTGCTTTTGTATGGGTGTTTATATTTTAAACTACTTCAGATATTTTGTGTGGAGGAAGTAAATAGGTGTAAATTGTTTATGGAGTTAAGGTGTACAGGATAGAAAGCTAACCAAGCAGACATTTAAAAACAATTAAAAATCTAGAATGACTTGTATTTGGAAGATATCAATGACTTGAAAGGGCATCATGAGATTGTGTTTACCATGTGCTCTCTCCCACCCCATGGTGATTGGTTGTTTTGATTCAGTAACTCAGAACATCTAGTCATTCACTGGCTGCAGTAGAGCCTGGAAAGGCTTATCTGAACAAAGTCTGATTTTTTGGTTAAAAAGAAACTGTCATTTAAAAGAAATGACAACAGATATCAGATCCCCTCTATACCAAGTGCCCTACCATCTTTGTTCATAGAGGCCTATGTCCCCTCAGAGCTGGGTCTGTGTTATGAACTGCTGGATGGGTTTTTCTATGACTCTCTAAGGAAGTTCACAGGGTCCCACCCTCTGGGACCCTGAGGCTCCCTCCTGCTCATTGGTGCTCCCACCCTTAGTGCCTGGAAGCTTGCACTCCTGGGGTTGCCCTTCTGGCCTTCCCCGTCCTCTAACCCCTTGGCCACTGAGGTTAGCATGATAGGGCACAGTGAGCCTCCCTTAGGACAAGCCCATTACCCATTCTTCACTGCCATCATGTCAGTGTTACACGTAGGAGAACACTGCCCCTGGATGTACCCCAAGACCCCTCAACTGACTTGGCCCTGTATCTCCTGACAGGAGGACACTTGCTGAATGGATACTGAGCTCTGATCAGAACCCACCAGCCCACAACCTGAAGCCTGCTGAGGCCTCCCATCAGCCCCATTCCTGCCTCATGGCCCCAGCAGGGTCAGGAAACAGTGACTCCTCCATCCAGGGTAGTACCAGGCCTGTCACTTCTGGAATTATGGGGGTCCCTATTTTCTAGCAGGATGAACTCATTACAGCTGGGAGGACCTGTTCCCAAGTGCTGTTTGAGGCTGCCTTGGTCAAATTAGTATGACCTTGTGTCTTTCTCAGGCCCTGTCCTCAAGGTGTTTCACATACCAGGTGTGGAGCCCTCTGGGCACCTTGACTTCAAGGCTGGGCCCAGAAGTGTGGAGAGTCTGCGCATGCTCATTCAGTGTCCCGGCTTCCAGCTTGGCCTCAGAATATGGCCTGGCAGTCCTGCAGGCACCATTTTCCTGTTTGGCCTGGGGTTGGGGAGCTCCCAAAGGAGCAGCTCTTCACTCCTGGGACTCAGCCAATTCCCAATGAGCCCCGCACCCCAGATGTCTGTACCTGACAGAGATTAGAAGCACCTCATCATTGAATTCAAGTGCAGATTCCTGGGTCCATCCCCAGATAGTCTAATTCAGTAGATGGGACCCTGGATTTTTAACAGCACCCTGTGATGATTGTGGCTGTCATCCTCCAAGCTTTGGAAACCACCTACCTTTGTGATTCCTGGTTTTCCTGCAGGACCACAGGGACCCTGAGCAGTTGGGACAGGGCATCTTGGGTCAGGCAGCACCAACCCAGATGGCCTTGGGACATCTGCAGAGAATGGACACTAGATGTCTTTGCCACTCAGGCAGCATGACCTGCTGGCTGCTTGGCATCCACAACACCCACCCCACTCAGGGCCCTACTCCTCCTCTCTCACCCTGCTCTGGAGTTCTTTTTCCATTCTCCAGCTGCCAGCTGCCCCAGCATGTGTCCTCACTGACAGGCTGGGACTTGCTACCTATCAGCCCTGTGTCCCTGCTACCTGAACCCACCCTGTCCCTATCTCCCTGGGGTCTCTTCCTTCCACCTCCAGCATAACCAAAACCAAAACCACTGCCATCGAGTTGATTCCAACTCATAGTCAGAGTAGAACTGCCGCATAGGGTTTCTAGGGTGATAAATCTTTATCAAAGCAGACAGCTGCATCTTTTTCCCATGGAGCGATTGGTGGGTTCAAACTGCTGACCTTTTGGTTAGCAGCCAAATGTTTTAACCGCTATGCCACCAGAACTCCTCCCAGCATTCCCAAGCCCTGTTATTTTTGAAGAGTCCTGCTCTCAGCCTAGAGCTCCAGTGATGACTAGGATTCAGTGTTGGCTGTCTGGGAGAAGTAAAACCAGTGTTTGTGTCTGCTGACTCTCAGGCCTAGAACTTTCCACTTGGTGAAAGTGGACTATGGAATGTCATCAAAACAAAAGAAAAAGTCTCTGTCAGTGTCCAATTGAAGAGTGGCCAAGCATGTGAGGCCCAGCAGGGTCCATACCCTCACCTGCCTGGTGAGGACTGAGGTGCCCAGATATGCTTGGTCCTGCATTGGTAACCATAACAAAAATGCTGTCCAGAAGAGTGCATCACCTAGTGGCAGCCAAGCTTGGTACTACCAGCTCAGATGACCCTGGACAGTCATGCAACTTTCTGTGCCTCAGTTTCCCCTCAGTAAGGGCTAGCATGACCATGGTCTCTGAAATTGGCATCCTTAGCTCTCTGCCATTTGGCCATTGGCAACAGTAACTGTCTTGTCCCTAGAGTCTGTGACCCCCTTTTGAGTGCCCACTTCTCTTTATGAGAAGTTGGGCTCTCAGGGGAAGGTGAGCCTGGTGGGCTAGTCTCTCTGAGGCACCATTCACCCAACCTACTCTGCACAAAACACCCATGAGGAGGGCTGTCAGATCTCTTTACCTCCCTGCAGATCCTTGCAATGGGAAAACAGAGAGCCATCACAGTTTAAACTCTTAGAAACAAGAAATCCGTGAGAGTCTTTACCAAGCTCTGCCTGCCTCCTTCTCTTCCTCAGACACACAGACTTCTGGAAGGTTCTGGATTCCCTGGGCATATCTGCACTGGACTCCTTGAGACATTGTGGTCCTGGCTGTGTGGGACTCCAGGTCCTGAGAGTCTTTATTTACAACATGTGCATCTTGGGCATGGCTAGGCCTTATGCCCAGGACCTGACCCCCACTTGCCTGGCTTTGAGGTGCTTCCTGCCCAGCCCCCTTGGCATGAGTGAGCTAGAGATTCTCCCCTTGCAGGGGCATACATTCCCCATTCCCCAGAGCCTCACCCCCATGTCATTCAGTGGGCATAAGGTGGCAGGGAAGATGGCACAGCCCCTCCCTCTAGGATAGCACACTTTTGGGCACCAGCTGGGGTTGGGAGCATAGCCCACATGGCAGAGTCCTGGCAGTTTTTCCACAGGGAGCTCCCACATGAGGTTAGGACCATTTCACCAGAGGGTGGCCCTTGGCACTGTGGCCAGACCACGTTTCCAATAGCTTCACCTGGGTCTTGCTTTGGCTGCTCTGCAGCAGTGATTGGCTCAAATCCTTCCTATAGGAACATCCAGACCTCTCATCCTCATGCTGGAAATCAAGTTTGATTCAGAACCTGTCAACTTGGAAATCAACAATAGTTAGGACAGGAAAAGGACATTCCCAATTTGCATTACCATCACCAAAGGAGAAATATCTCTCTCAGTTGTTAACCCCCCAGTATTTTAACAGCCCTTGTGACCTCTTAAAATTTCTGAAAAGCAGAGCTGTCACTTTGATGACTAAGGTGCACCCAACCCAGGCTACGGCCTTTTCAATCACCTTATATGCATGCAAAAGCTGGACATTGAAAAAGCAAAACAGAAGAGGAATTGATGCATTCAAATTGGCCTGTTGGCAAAGAATGTTGACTATACCATGCAATGTCAGAAGAACAAACAAATCAATCTTAGAATAAATATAACCCGAATGTTCCTTAGCAGTAAAGATGATAAGACTTCAGCTTTCTTACTTTGGACATGTCATCAGGAAAGACCAATTGATAAAAAAGAGCATTATGTTCGGTAAAGTAGAGGGTCAGTGAAAATGGGGGAAACCCTTGATGCCATGGATTAACACAATGG